CTTCAAGCCTTCCGTCTTGCGCCTCGCGCCGCGAACTTCTCGTCGCGCGCCAGCTTCCGTCTTGCACCGTGGTCGTAGTGCAATCTTAGCTAGTGCGGCTCATGTCCCTTCTCCGTGCTGTTTGCGATCAGTGCGTCGCCGTGCGCCCGCAGCAGCCGGTTGCCGTCTCGGGCGCTCTCGTCCTTCATGGTCATCGCCTAGATGTCAACTCTTTTTTCATTCCACTTCTGGTTGAGCATAACTGTCTTGAGCTTGTCTAATTTTCGCCCCTGGAGTCCGTCGCGCATGCGTCAGGTGGGCCACGCATCGCACCCTGTGGCGCCGTCCAGTCGATGCTGTTGCCCAACGTCTCTAGCCACTGGAGCATCAACCGATAGAGCTCGTCCTCACTATCCACGGCAGCTCTCGTCTTAGCTGCCTGCGAGCCGACTGGCGGACGTCGCGCCTCGGCCCTTCGGGCGTCGCGACCGCCGCGGCGATCTGCCGCGTCTCCTGCGCGGCCCGCCGCCGCCGCGCCGCCGCGCCCGCCGCCGACGTTGCGCCCTCGCCTCCTGGGGGCGCCGGCGGCGCCCGAGGGCCAGCATCCACGGCGGCGCGGCCCGCGCTGGGCCGAGGCTCGCCGCGCTCGGGCCCCGCGGGCCGCAGGCCGAGGAAGGCCGGGTAGAGCTTGGGCCCGGGCGACCGATGCAGACGGGGGGGGCTCGTCGGCAGGGCATCTTCGGACATCTTCGGCACTGCTGCGCCTGCCCCCGTGGCCAGGCAGAGGGCCGCCCGCCGTCTGCAGATGTGGCTCGCCCCTTTGACTGGCGACCGGCCTGTGCTCGACGCCGGCGCCGCCCCCGTCGCATCGATGGCGAAGAAGGGGCGGCGACCGTGGGCGCGGGGCGAAGGGGCTGGCGTTTCGGAGCCCAGAGGGCGGCGCGTGCTTCCAGCGTGGGGGGCTCGCGTCGCCGCCGCCGGGCCTCGCTCGCCGCCCGCCTGGGCCCAAACGTCATCGCCAGCGGCGCCGCGTCAAAACCGCGGGGCGCGCCGCCGACCTCCAGAATGGCATCATCCTAGTCGTCGTCGTCCCGACAGCGGGCGTGCAGCTGGGCCATCGCGCTCAGCTCGCCGTCCATGCTGTGGCGCCACCTCTCGTTCACTCGACTGGCTCGCCGCGGCATGGCTGGGCCGCGTTCTCCCTCGACGACCCCTCAAACGTCGCAGTCGTGCTCCAGTCGGCGGACAGGTCGCAGCGGGCCAAGGGCAGCAGGCTCGCGGCCCAACCCAACTCCCGCCGCGCGGCGGGCCACCGCGCCACCAGCTCGCCTCGGCGCGCGTGGATGAAGCCGCGCGCTGCCCCGAAGCGCGACATCGCCTCCCGCCTCGGCAGCGCCGCGAAGGTCAGGGGCCCGACGATGACCTCCACCTGCCAGCCGCAGACCCTCGGCCTCGATAGCAGCTCGCGCGCGCCGCGGCGAAGCCGCCGCAGCCTCGCCGAGCTCGGCGCCACCGCCACCTTGCCCAGGTTTAAGTTCCGGCCCGGGCAGTTGCCGCCGTCGCTAGCCTCCACGCCGTGCGCCGGCAGCCCCAGCTCCAGCATCTCCTCGTTCACATGCTCCGCGGCCCTCTCGGCGACGCCGAAGTCCTGCGAGAAGGCCGCGGAATTGTCCGCGCGCTGCGCGTGCGCCAGCGGGCGACGTGCCGCGTGCCCGTCGACTTCGTCCGGCAGCGAGGGGGCGCGGCGCTCCGCCTCCTCGTGGACATCCTGGCGCGCGTCCAGCGCCAGAGACCATCCCATCCCATCGTCGGGGCTCAGCGGGGACCCCTCGCACTCGGCCGCCCTGGCATCCCCGGCAGCCAGCTACCGCAACCCGAAGAGCATGGCGAGCTCCAACGGCAGGGCCAGCGCGTTGAAAGCGTCCGCGATGTCCGCCTGTCCCAAGGGGCCCGGCATGCAAGCGCCCGCGTCGATGGACCCCATGGGCGCCCTGCTGGCCAAACGCACGTCGCCCGGCACGCCGAAGTGGGCGTCCGACAGCCGGCGGTCCGCGATGGGCCTCGCATTGTCGCCCATCTTCCAGATAGAGAAAAGCCCGACCTGTCCCGCGCAGGCCCAACGGAACTCGAAGAGCCCCTCGCTGCGAGATGTCTCGCAAGGCGACCGTGGTAGCGTCGATCTCGCAGGAGGGGATCGCTGTAGGCGCGCTTCAGTCCACGCTCCTCTCGCGTCCTCCCCGCCGCGTCTGCGGGCGGGACTTGACTCTTCAACCCCTCGGCAATGCGCGCGCCTCGCGTGGCCTATGCCCTTCTGGAGGCACGTGGGGCAGGTCTATCTCGAGGGGGGCGAGGGCGGCGGGCTCCCCGCCGCGCCCTAGTCTGGCGAGGAGCTCGCTCAGGGCCCCCTCGCCGCTCGAGCCGTCAGGAGGCGGCCCCGCTGCGCGCGCGGCGGCCTTCAGGCGCCCAAAGCAGCGCGACTGGCCGGCCATGGGGCTGCCGGCTCTAGCGCCCGCGGGCGCCGGCCCGCCATCTCGTTCAGCGCGTCGATCATGAGATTGGAGTCCACGCTGCGACTCAGCCGCTCTGCCCGCCGACGCACAGCACGACAAGGGGGGTCTCCAGCAACCAGCGTGCGAAACGCAACTTGCACCATCGGCTCTACCTCCAGGCGGGCGAAGACGCGGCAGCAAGTCACGCTGCCGGCCGTCGCGCGGCAAGCGTGAATCATCCTCGGGCTGTCCGCGAAAACTGCCAGCACCCCAGCCCTTTGCGGACGCTGCCTCCCTCGACGTCGCGGCGGCGGCCCCAGGGGCAGGCCGCCGCCGCGCCGCCTCCGCAATCGGCCTTGCGCGAGGACTCGCTCCTCGCGCGCCTTTCTGACCGGCTTCATCGCCCGCGCGTCCCGCTCCGCCTCCTTCGAGGGGGATCTCCCCGAACTCCTGATGGGCTCCCATGAGGATCTGGCTCTCGTCTTGCACGCCTGCCCAGCCGCCGCCCTCGCCGCTGCCGGCCTTCTTGTCGTTGTCTTCGCTTGGTGGCCCACCTGGGCCAGCGGATGCCGGGCCAGCCTCAGAGTGCGCGTTCTCGATCAGTTGAACCTTGCGAAGGAGAGACTCGGCCGCTCCAACGCTCGTGGCGCCTAGGCCGTCGTGGCCCAGCATCAGCTCCAACGCCTGCGAGATGTCGCATGCCCTTGCGCCGCCCACGCGTCTGGGAAGAACCGCTGGGCACTCATCCACCACTTGTGATGCTCGCGAGGACCTCCAGACTTACGATTGAGGCTCGCCGCGCCAATGAGATGCACGCGGCCCTGGCACCGGGAAATCTGGGAATATCTGCTCCTGCAGCTCGCTGACCCCCTCGCGCCAGAGCTGTCGGCCACGCGCTTGGCCCGTCGTCGCCGCAGGGAGGAGGCGCGCGTCCGCAGAGGCCTCTGAGCCCTTGAACACTTGGAGCCTGTCATCTGGCACGAGCGCGATGCTGTGCCAGGTCCCTCCTCCAGGCACGAGCTCGACAAGCCCGCGGTCTCCTCGCAGCACCTCGGCCCCGTTGTGCGTCGCAGCGTCTTCCCGCTTCACGACGCATCAGGCTCACCCACGCGCTGGCGCCAGCAGCCGGGGCCGGGGCGACGCCGCCCGCGGCGGGGGCCCCTGCCAGGGCCGCCGCCGCCGCGACGACCGCTCCAGCGGCGGGCGCAACGGCCGCCACGGCGACGCCGCCCCCGCCAGCGGCATCGGCAGGAGCGTTGGCTGGCCGAGGGGCAGCACGGGGGCACGCCACGAGCGCCCGCCACCGCCGCCTGGCAGGCGCGGGCCGCGGCCCACGCTGGGCCCGCGCCGCGCGCTGGCCCAGCGTGGGCTCCGCGCGGAAGCGGTAACACTGGGGCCGCGGGGTGCCGGGCGGAGGCGGCCACCACCCCGACGCGCGCCTGAACGCCAACACGTCGCCACTCTCCGCCCGCCCGTCTTCGACGCGCGTGTCGCCGTCGGGCGTCGTCACCACCACCTCGTCGATCCCCAAAGACGCCAACACCCCGTGGCACAGCCTCTGATGGAAGAGCGGCTGCCCGCCTGGGTCGTCGAAAACGGTGCAGGCCCACCCCGGCGCTGCCGCCATGGCCGCTCGCCGACACGATGGGCTCCTTCGTCGGCACGCCCCGCCTCGCCAGCCACCGACCTGCGGCCAGGCCCGCCGCCGCTGTGACGGCAGGCAGCACCCTCCAGCCCTCGGCGCGGCCCTCGGACTCCACCCCCAGCCGCCCAGTCGGGCGGCGGGTCGGGCGCCCCTGGGCACGGCGGGCGCGCGGGGCAGCCGGGGCCGGGCGGACAGGCCGGCGGCCGAGCGGCCCACAGCACCGTCGCCAGCCCAGCCTGGTGAGCAAGCCCCGCCACCACACCGGGCGCGAAGGGCACTGCCATCGCGCGCGGCACTTGGCCGAAGCTGAAGGGCAGAAGCAGCGGCGGATACAATCAAAGAAGCAGTCCGGCTGGTTGTCCGAGCGGCCACAGCGCATCACGTGCTTAGCTGATTCACGCGCGAACGCAGACATGAATATGTTTCTTTCTCTCGGGGGGTCGTAAAGATGGTGTGTGTAGGGACCTGGAGGTGGGGTAGTTTTAAGATCGCCCTAGACAGCCCCCAGAAGACTGAGAGGTGAGCAACCATCAAGGTTCGCTCTCTAACCTCACCTCAGAATGACGCTCCCTCCCTCGACGACCCCCCGACCTCCGTCTCCTGCTGGCAAAGGAGGCCTCGGGCGGCGCGCAGGCAGCCCCCGCAGGTCCCCCCGGCTGGCCCCAGGAGGCCTCCCATCGAGTAGTCCCTGGCCCGCCTTCACAGACCACCCGAGTGGTCTGGGGCGGCCTCAGCGCCCCGGCCCTCCGCGCCCCAGGGCTGCGATGCTGCGACCAGCGGGCACCACCTCGGGGGGCCTGCTGAGGCCAGCCGGGACTACCCCGGGAGGCTGTCTGCGCGCAGCCCGAAGCCCCACTGTGCCCACGCCTTGCCTCCCACCCCGGAGCCATCTCCGGATGGAGCAGGTCGATATCCATGGCTCCTGCTGGCAGTGTGCTGGGGATCGGCCACGCGCAGAAGGGGGGGAGGGGGGAGGGAGGAGGGCCTCTTGGAAGCACCCCTGCTTCCTTTAACGGGCGAAGAACGGTATAACATAAACTTTTTCGCTGTCGGGGGCGCCTGTCCCTGGGCGGCTGGAACGTTTATACCCCTACGGTGGCACACTGGGGGTATAAACTTTCCAGCCGCCCAGGGACAGGCGCCCCCGACAGCGAAAAAGTGCATCTTGTACCGTTCTTCGCTCGCTGATTCCTAGAAGGCGCGGGCCTCATCTGCAGATGCAAGGCCGGCGCCCTCCAAGGAGGTGGCCTCCCTCCAAGGGGCCCCCCGCCCTCCCCCTGCCCCCCTCCGCGCGCCGCCCAGGGGGGGCGCGGACCCTGCCGGTAGCCAGGCGGTAGGCCCTTGAGCAGAGACGGCCGCGGCCGGCAGGCTCCGCGCGCCCCTGCGGTGACCGCTCCGTTCTCCCTCCCTCCCTCCCTCCCTCTCTCTCTCCTCCCCCCCGCTCCCTCAAGAACATCGTCATCGTCATCGTCGTCGTCGATGTCGTCATCGTCATCGTCATCGTCATCGTCATCGTCTTCGTCGTCGTAGTCGTCATCGTCGTCGTCGTCGTCATCGTCCCTCCCTCCCTCCCTCCATCTCCTCCTCCCCCTGCTCCCTCAAGAAACTTAGGCTCGAGCATTTTGCCGCGCCCGGCTTCTGTGCCTGCGCGAGGTGTCTGGGGCACTGCGCTCAAGCTGCTTTAGACAGCAGCGGCTGGCGTTGACGAACATCGAAGTCTCACGGTGGGCGTTGTCTCTCGGAGGTACGAGCGGAGCGCAACGATCGCCTCCTGCTCGCTCAGTGCGTATGCCAGCATTGCAACAGGAAAGTCAAACTTCGGGGGCGTCCAGGAGGGGGGCCGTCCAAGAGGGGGGAGCGCAAATCATGGCCGGCGGCACGTGCGCGGCCAAGGGGGGGCGGGGACGTCTTGAAATCTGAGGAGGCGCCATGAAATCTGGGGAGATCCCGTGGCCCCGCCATGATATCCTCCCCTAATCATCACCCACCTCTTGGCCGCCCCTGGAAACTGTTCAAACCTCGTGGGCCGATCCGTCCTTGCTAGCCGGGGCCCAAGGTCACGCTGACACCGTGCGGGGGCAGGGTAGCCAGAGCAAAGGAATCGCCCAGCAGTCCAAAGATTGGCGGCGAGCCCGGGGGGGAAATGAGAAAGGGAGGACCTTCTCAGAAGGCTCGGAATTCACCGGGCCTTCTGACAAGTGTTCTAAGCCTTCCCCGAAGACACCAGAAACTCCTCAGAAGGCGCGAGGGCTTCTGAGAAGTCCCACCGCCTTCTGACAAGGCCTCCTCCTTCTCACCCCTCCAGGGCACGCCACTGAAAAAATGTGCCCGCTTCCTCAAGCTGGCGGTGCAGGAGATCCAGGAGGGGAGTCTGAAGGCGGTCCCCAAGGAGCAGGTGAAGACGTTGGCTCCACTCGCTCCTGAGGAGAGGCCTGCCGACGCGATCAAGAGGACGGTGGGCGTGTGGAGGGACGCTGACCACAAGCGCACGCAGGCGATGCAGGCAGTGGCCAAACTCGAGAGAGTCTGGTGCTGGCGCACGGGCGCGAGCGCTCCACCGAGATCGCTGTGGCGGAGGCTGTGAAGGCCAAGCGTCTCGTCACGCAGGCGCTCGCGCTGGCGGAGGGCATCGGCGTCTCAGTCTCGGCAGCGGGGCGACCAGTCCAACAGCCCCAAGTTCCAGCTCACCTGGCACAAGGAGCTGTTCGAGGAGCTCGACGACCACGAGCTCGAGGAGCACGAACGCACGGACCTGGAGCAGGTCGAGAAGGACTCGGGGGGCCTGCAGGGGGTGCTTACCCCCCTTGAGCTGGCGGTCACGGCCATGCTGGCCAAGGCCGAGGCTGTCCAGAAGAAGACGGCGAGCGAGAGACTCGCCAAGCAGCGACGAGGTGTGAGAGATGCACAGGCCGATCCTGCTGCTGGAGGAGGCGAGGCTGGTGGCCGTGATGCTGGGGCCGACGGCGCCGCTGCTGCGCCAGAGAGTGCGCCCGCCGCGGCGAGCAGCAACCCCGCGGCCTCGGCGGCGGGCCCCGCAGCCCGGGCGCAGGAGGCAGCAGCGGCGCCGCCTGGCGAGGGGCACGATGCCGTCGTCCTGGCGGCGGAAAAAGCCGTCGCAGGCGGAGCTCGAGAGGCCCGGCGGCAGGAGAAGGCGGCGTTCAAGGGCAGGACACGGGCAAGGATATGGGCAGGGGCCAGGGCGGCAGCCACCTCGGCAGGGGCAGGAGCGCGGCTGCAGCTGGCGGCTTTTCGCCGTATCGACTAGCTGGCGACGTCCTTTGCAGGCATCCGCCTGATGTGGGGCAGCGTGAGGGCGGACTGTTCACGCGCAGCATCGTCTCCCAGCGAGGCGGCCATTTTGTCCAAGTCCATGTCGGGTGAGTTCGGCACATTCTTTTACGCGAATGTGACAGCATTGGGGGACAAGGCGTGGAAATTACTGATCGAGGGCAGGTGCCGCTACGTCAGCATAATCAAGACTCACGTCATTGAGTTGTCTTTCAAATCTTGGAATCAAATGGACAGGGCTCAGGGATATCGCGTTCTTGCAAAGCATGACAGGTGTCGCCAGAAACAAGTTTCTGCAGCTATGGCTTCGATGAACAATGAGGGTGGAGAGTGGTTCTTGGCCGAGAAACACTTACAGGTGGAGTCGATGCGTACGGACATTCACTGTGGCGCCAAGCTTCGAGCTGCTGGTCACGCGCAGCTCGGTGGGTTTAAAGTCTCTCTTGTCCATCAGCAGGAACAGAGCATCGTGATCGTGTCCATCGATGGGTTGCCCAGTCTGGATTGGCAGGAGGGAATATTGCAAGATTTCAGGTGCGATGGCCGATACCTTACAAGTTGCGTGCATCCGATTTGGCGACTTTAATGTCGAGGTCGCTGCAATGCAAAAGTCCACGTTTCTGTCCAGGCTGGAAGGGGGCCCGATCATCATCGTCACTGCGGATAATGTTGCTGAGACGTGCGAGGCAGGAGTCGAGGGCTCCGTCATAAACTACGCCATCTGCAGCAGAACGGCAAGGTCATACATCGGCAGCATCAAGGGCGACACCAGTGTACCATGGAAGCCTCACCTCGGTCGTCTGCTTGGGCTCAGGTCGTCGATGCAGCAATTGATCACGCGGCAAACGCGGCAACTTGAAGTGCTCTCGATGCCTCCGCAATCTGTGCGACCCAGGGTGCAGCCGACTCCTGGTTCGAAGTCAAGCATCGCCCGCCAACAAGAAGAGAAATTCATGGACAAGGTCAAGATTTTTGGGTGACCCCAAAGGGGGTCCAGCTGAAAAGGGGTGGTGCAATAGATTTTGGGCAATTGTATTGCAAATGTATAGTGCTGGAGACTTGTATTGCATTGTATTGCAACTACCCGGAATGTACTGCACGCCCCAAATGTACTGCAACCCCACAAATCGATTGCACCGAACCTATTGCACCACCCCCTTGTCGCTGGACCTCCCTTTTTGGGTCAACCGAATCACTTGATCGGGGATGAGGAGGATCCATGGGCCCAGGAGTCAGCGTTTCAGCCCGTGTGTAAAGCTGAGCCTAGGCCGGGCCGCCGGATTGAGGCTAATGCCAGCAGCTCCGGGCTGAGCTGCTGCTCCTTGTTTCACCCCCCCTTCCCTTCCCCTCCCCTCCCCCTCCCCTCCCCCTCCTCCTCCTCTGTGCCATAGGGCTTCCTTCGCGCTTGTAACAAAACATGTAAAGCTGAGTCTGGTGTTTCAATGGAGGAGCCTTCGAGTTCATCTCTGAATCTGGCCGGGAACATGACCCCCCCGGCTTAGGGCAGTTGTTGAGTACCCAGCCCGCCCCCGTACTGAGGCCCCTAGTAATGATGGCACGGCAAATATCGTCGACTTCTATGTTCCAGGGGAGCTTTGGGAGAGGTGTCCGTAGCGAGATCGGCTTCATCCTTACCGAGCAGTGTCCTCCCCCAGCTTCCTCGCCTCCTCCGTAGCCTCTTGGCCTGGTGATCCGTTGGCTCTTGCCTTGCTGAGCTCCATTGCGCCACGTGGGTGCGCACAGCCGGAACCACAGTGGGAAGCAAATCTTGTCTGGCACCAGCTGGAGCTACGGAGCCAGTCTCGTGGGAAAAACAATCCATGATGCAGTCGAGCAAGGAGCGTCACCGTCACGTGATGCGATTTCGTATTGGTAGCCACGCATGCATGCCTTGTTGAACAGCTTGGCGAGGTATGTGGACCGCCAGAACGGGCAGCGCCAGCGTACATACTTGATTGAGGCCATCGACAGGTTGATAGAGTGCCCACAGCAAGCGCACACAAGTCTCAGAGTGCATGCGGGCGGCTATTCATCACGGATGCGGTGGCATCAGCCCTTCAAACAGACACATCGTATTCCGAAGTGCGAGCTCGACTCGTTCACCCAGCGAGCTGAGCGTATTGCAAATCGGTGTCAAAGGAGGGCGGTCGGCGTCTCGCTGCGAGAGATTTCGTTTTGGATCGAGACCCCCTGTGGCGTTATGAAGGTTGCACAAAATATCGTTCGTTCGCACAACTGGCACCCAGTCCTCAGTATTGAGGTTCCGACCCAGAACTGAAAAAGGTCACCCCCCACCTTCGATGTTGGAATTCCCAAACTCCAGATTGCAAAAAACCAAAAAGTGGACATGTCAAATCCCAAATTAAAACATGGAACAAGACTGACCATCGAAGGTCAATATTGAGGTGTTGGTGCAATATTGGGGTTCGGAACTTCAAACTTTGGGTTGCTGTCTCAATCCTGGGGTTAGGAGGTCCAATCTTGAACTTTCGCTCGGTCCAGTGAACAGGAGGGCCTGGTCCCTGCCCTAACGGCCGGACTTCCTTAGAAAAGGCCCTCGCTCCCGGGCTACCCGCGAGGGCGTCTCGAGCGGGAGCCTCCTCAAATCCAACTCCCAAGGGCGACGCACTCTGTACACATCCACTGCTCCCTGGCCGGGCCAATCCTGGACCCAGCAGCGGTGCACACACCGCGCCCCGCTGGCTCGGCCAGGAGGGCGTGTACACGGCCCCTGGGTGCATGACGGGTCTCGCCAGGGAGCACAGGATCTGCACAGACTTCGTCGCCCGATCCTCGTACCTCACTCGTGTGCTGCATTCTCTATCAGGCGGCCGCTGGAATGGCAGGCGTGCCCGCCATTCCCAGCCAGGCCCCCCCTCTCGGGGATCGGCTCAGGGAAGGAAGTCTGAAGGGTGACGGGTGAAGGAATTGGGAGAGGGGGAGGGATGGGGGAGGGCGATGGGTGAAGAGGAGGAGGAAGAAGAGGTGGAAGAGGAGGAGACTTCGCCGTCCCGTGGCCGAGCTCGGCTCTGGCAGGCTGCCGCTGCTGATGCTGCTCT